TGAGGCCTGTGCTGATGTGCATGCCAAAAGATGCTATGCAGAGCACCAAGACAACCGGATGTGCCAACACCCGCCCAGCGGTGCCCACACTTTGCATGTTATCCTTCACATCCTCGCCGGAAAGGGGGCCAAGCGAAAGAAATGGCCTCGGTCTCCCATCAGGAGTCGAGGCTCACGGAAGGCAAGACATGTTCGATTGCGGGTCAGTTTCATGGCCTACTCGTGTCGGAAGTTCAACCCGTCCCAACTTTCGTGTCCACATTCTCAGTTTCAGCTTAGCTTAAACTGGCGATTGCACAAGTCCTGGTGCAAAACAGCTTAAACCTTGAGCTTGCTTCTCCTTCTGCGCAGGCGCTTGGAGTGGTTGAGATGAACGGAGTGTGGGTGGAATACGACCCCGACAGCAGCTCGATTGAGCGGAAAATTTGTGGTCACCAAGTTGCAGCAAGAGGCCGAGGCAGAACGTCCTGTTTTACTGAGGTGATCCCTACGATCCCCGGACGGCGCCTCTGCTGCCACCCAGACCGATGCGCAACCAGGCACCTTCAGGAATGCGCCTCTGCAAGAGCCGTGTAATGAAAAGAACCAAAAAGCTGCTGAAACGCCGCCGCTTGTCTCTCTGCACTGTACTTATTGTTGTGTCTTGGGTGTTTGTCTGTTTTCTTCATTTAACACAGCACGACCCTGCAAAAGGCATGCCTATAGGACAGGGGGTCTTGTTTCATGCCAGGCAGTTTTCAACATGCGCTCTGACCCGCCCAAGGAGGACCAGCTTTTGGTTCACAGCAGACTAGTGAAGTCCAAGGCTATTGCTACAAGTGAAGTGCTCCTGTTGATGCCGATTTTGCAACACTTCCTGAACATGACCAGTCCAGGCCGCCGTGGCAACGCACAAGCGCGCGCCGTCGACACCCTCCACGCATAGTGGAGGAACAACATCAAGGCACTCGGTGGGGGGATTGCAACATCATCACAACATCAAGCCGCTGGCATTCTTGCTCATGCGACCTTTTCTCAGGTCGATGTCGGACAACTCGCGAGAGGCGAGCACATGCGAGGACTCACCGCGAAGACTCAAGGTGGTCAGCCACACCTAATGGGAACCGGAATCCTGACCGCGAACCTCGACAAATCCTCGTGACGAAGCTAGTTCATCTGCCCTTGTACGATCAGTCTGCATGGCTTTGGCTACTGGCACGATGCCAAGCAAGATCACCCCGATAGGCACCACTCCAACATTCAGCAACCGAGCAACCATTTGAGAGCGTGTTTTCTCTTGTTTGATGTGGTCCCTTCATCAAGCAGCACAAGGTTGCACACATCGTGCCGTGCAGCTTTTTCGCAGGACACAAGTTCCATTGCTTCCGTCCTTAGCCCAGCACCGTCCAGTATAGAGCCTTTACAGAGAGTGGGGGGCCGGTGGTTGTGCCTGTGCGAGTTTCAATATGCTTGCCTATGTTTCAAGGTATCAGCTACTTTGGATGCGAAGCTGCCCAGGGCCGTGGAAACTGCCGCCGAGCAGCCGACAAGCCAGGCAGGGCTAGCTGCTTGGCACTGTCTGATGGCGGAAGCAGCGTACTGGTGCGCATGAGGGTATTGATGCGGTTTTCCTGGTTAGCCACCGTTTGCTCCACCCCCTAGTCCTAGCTAGCATGAAGCCCGTCTTCAACACGGTCGGCAGGCGATCCCTTGCCGCACGCTCCTGACGATGCCTGCTCAGTCATGGTTAGCGTTTCCGTCTTTGAAGAGCCTGCGTCCAGAGAGCGCCGCACGTTGAGACGAGAAAGCAATGCTGGCATTCTTTTGGAACTCAGCTGCTTCGAATCTGGACGCGAGAGGCTGCGCTGGAATCGTGTTGTTGACTAACCTTTCAGCCTGCTAAAACTGTGTGCCCACGAGCCTCACGAGGCATGCCCAGTTGTGGCAATGTAGCATGAGCGTAGTCAGCAGTGACTGCCAGGTACGTCATATTATTTTCTGCACGGAAGAAAGCTACAACAACACAATTTCCGGCCGGCTGTGTCACAACAGGTTCCTGCTGAGCGCATGATTTTTTCGAATTGATGCAAGAAATAAGACTGTGAAGATTTGCGAAGCATCTTCCGCAGTCTACAGCAGACATCTGACATACTGTACCATGTTCGTGGTGCCACAGTTCCTGTTTGATGAATTGATGCTTCCCATAATATGCTGGTGATGCAATAAGCCTGGACCAGCAGACTCCAGCGACCTTCTCTTTTCCACAGCATGTGGTTCCTGCGCAGAAGCCGGCCACGTGCAGCAGATTCTCTTTTGCCACTGCTTCCCTTACAGCTACTTTTGCTGATCCCGACACGCTCCCTTGGACAACACGGCTTCGTTTGCATCAGGCCGAGCCCCGTCCCGCACACGGCCTTGGCAAGTCTTGGCCACATCAGCGTGTGCCGGGATGTTTTGCTGGATTCGGCTCGAGCCACTGGCTGCGGGCACGTGTGCCCAGGCTGGCGGATACTTAAGCCTTGTGGGTGCCCGTGTATGTCTTTGTGGCCATTGACTGATTAATGTAGATGTGTAAATCAGCAGAGTTCTGGAGAGGGCCTTAGCCGCATCCCTCTCCCCGCCCGTCATGTTCTTCTATGCCTTCTTCATCCACCCTCCTTTGCTGTGGCCTGTGCTGCAAGTAGCTGTTCTGTGCGGCTGTGACGTATACTTTTCACCTTGATCACATCTCTCTCCTTGCAGATGTAGAAAGATAGACCATGTGTGTCGTGTGGTTGTGTGCAGGCGTACGTATATCCGGATGTTGAATGGAAACTGAGCGAAAGATTTTTAGGGTGTTATGCAACAGGCAAATGCGTTATCGCAAACTTTTAGAGTATAGCAGGCAAAGCCACCCAGCAAACCGGCCTGGTTATATTATGTATATACAAATTCCAAATGCAAGATGGTTTAGGCACCTGCTTCATAAGCACCCATGGAGGGCCAAACTAAAGTGCATAAAGATTTGCAATCAAATCTCGTGGCCCAGGACACACCGTGCAATCTTTCCTTTGTGCGTGCATGTCTGTGTTTGTACTTACCTATCTTCTCCACATGCGTCTGTACGCGGGCACTCGCGACAGATGAATCGTTGACATATCATGAGCTCCGAGCATGCTATCGTCCATCTTCTGCTGCATGCTCGCACTGTGCCTGGCACCAGCAGTCTTGCTTTGGATGTGTTGGGATACGAATGATACGAACGACACGCGATCATGTCTAATTGCGACGGTGTAGCCTGCAGACGAGCAGATTTGGATTTGGTTGCATGTTGGTGTTTCGGCAATTTGTAACTGCAACGCAGGCGTGCACTGGTCAGTGCAATTCAGCTTGAGCAAAGCAAAGAAGGTACAACTCTTGTGCACGCATTTTCGGTGTACCTTTTTGCCGCCGTTTCTCACTTGCTGTACCTACTACTATCATCGAGTGTCGCGTTCTGCCACGATGTTTCTTTCGTTTGCCCCACCTGCTTCTTGACATGACTGGAGCCTCCGACTTGAGCACTATCGGTTTGGATTGACGAAGTTGTTGTCACGATGTCTTTCACAAGCAATGCTTAGCTGAACAAGCCTGGCACTTGTAATCTGCAAAGCTTGCGTACCTAAGGCTCTGAACCCCGAGCTGCGAGTGTAGGGTTGGTAGGTAAAGAAAAGCACCGTAGGCCCAATTCCCTTGAGCAGAGACGATGCGGGATGAGCAGTTCCTGTAACAACCGGACATGCACCTCTGCAAGTTATAATGGCAAAGCTGGAACGCACAAAATGTAAGCAGGAAGCACAGAATGAAATCCTGTCTAACACTCATATGAAAGCATCTTAAACCATATCATGCGCACATATGCATGCATGCGCGTATGTGTGTGTGTGTGATCGTGTGTGTGTAGCTATCTATCTATCTATCTTATCTAATCTACTCTACTCTAATCTAATCTAAGCTATCTATCTGTCTACCTATCTATATACATACATATACACGTAGAAACATGCGTACATACATAGAACGTCTCGCACTGCGAGCACCAGCTGTGCCCACCGACCGTTATTGCCCCAGTGGCCCTAGTGATCCCAACTGGTGCGATTCCTCGTCTGGAAGAGACGGTCCAGTTTGCCCACTTGTCATGCTTGCCTCTGGAAACATCGAGCGAAATGCGCCCAGACCGAAGTAGGGCCTGGCTCTGTCGAATTCTTTCCTTCCCACCGTGCTTTGGCAGACCATGCTTGGACTTGTCCGAGTGTAGGCGTTCAGATCAAAATCTCCGCGACCGCGACGAAGACGTGGGCTCTTGGAAACTTGGATAGGCCTTTGAGGCCAGTAGGCAAGTGGGGCAAGAGGAAGGGATCGGTCGGTGGTCCGGAGGACTCAAGCAGCAGAATCGTTCGCACCGAACCCGAACCAGTGCAGCAAGCAGAGTGGCCGAGATCATTTATCGATGGATATGCACTCGAGCTGCAAACCCGCTTCATGGTCATGGCAATTCAAGCTATCTGTGTGGATATGAGGGGGATTCAGTAAGAAGTCCTGTGACGCCTCTCCTGGTTTGAGGTCGAGGCTTGGGGTGCGCAGGACGGAGAGGAAATCCGCAAGGCAACAAGAAGAGAGCAGCCCAACCAACAAAGGGATTTGTATGCATTCGCTCTCTCTCTGTCTCTCTTATGTGTCTACATGTGTATATATATATGTACATTTCATATACATAAGCATACACACACACATATACATATATATATATATATTTATATAAATAAAGAAAGAAAGAAATAAATAAATAAATATATATATATATATTGATTGATTGATATTGTTTGTTTATTTCCTATCTCACGACATCTGATTGCAATGCCACTGCGGTGTCGGTGTGAAGGCTGTGCTGCATCAATGAAGTACCTTGCCGGCGGCTCAGATGTCGGGGCCAAAATTCGACTGGGTTTGAGGACTGAGGTGCTGGGTCGGGTATTTCTTGAGGTGTGCAGACAACCACCCAAGACGTTTCCGGTTTACTGGATGCCCTCCTCGCACTCGTGCTTCAAGCAGCAAGCTTTTGACTGAGTGGGCAAACCACGCGAAACCGACGTCCAGCAACAGAGCTCCGACGAGCAAGTTACTGCGGCCAGTCATAGGCACCCCCTGCCTTGTTGCATGGAGAAGAGGGCAGTGCTTTGCAGCCATGTGACGAGGTGCTGAGCGTAGCTGTTTGGGCTTTGGCCCATGCAGCAAAGGTGAAGACAAGGCCAGAAGATGCAACATACATAAAAGGATAACCTTGTGATTTTCTATGCTGGCAATGACTGGGTAGCGGCCCGAGGGTTTTGCTTGTGAGAACCCTGTGAGTCCTCCTGTAAGAGAGGCTGTGTTGTCAA